GCGTAATTACTGGCAGCGCGAGCCAGTTACTATAAGTTACTATAAGTAACTGGCTCGCGCTGCCAGTAATTACGCGGCGGGATATTCAGGGCACAGATTGTGATCATAAGATACCGCGAGTAGAAAATAGATTTTTAGAAAATAGACATTCCATGTGAACGAATCCTAATACCTGTTGTGTCAACAAGGTCCATAACTACAGCATAGATTATAGCTGTCACCCTCTCCACTCTAATCCTTATAAACCCTTTGAAAGGCAGAGTATTCGCAAAGGCTTAAACTGCCCTGTGTTACACCTGCATGTAATCCTAGTAGTGGTCGTCTATAAGTTAGGTTATAGAAAGTCTTCAACTATTTGTTGAAAAATGGAAATGGCAGACTAAATATTTTAGATGCTAACATTTAAAATTGTGAAAGTTTTTTTTCTGAGAGCTTTCAGTCATTGCCCATAGCCTTGACTATGATGGTGACAGACTAAATAGCTTTAGACAAATTGAAAAAAAAAATCAAAACAGATCAACGAGTAATTTATCAGCAAACCAATCTCTGCACCCATACCTGTGTGCTACCACAGTGACTTAAATACCACATAACTCCTTATCCCAACCAAGTTAAGGAAACTACAATGTATGTTCCGGTAATATCCAGAGGCTATTTGCCAGGTAGAACCGCAATAACAGGTTCCCCTTGTATCAGCCTTGTTGATCAAATATTACCCAGAACATTACTGTGGTTGGAGGCCTGTCTAATGTGTGTCTAATTGAATACCTGTGGATATTGACAAGGGCAGTTAGGCTAATGGCTGTGTCACAGAAAAGGGGAATTGTGTAAGTGAAGTACTCTGCGTGCAGTTACGAAATGGAAAAAAGTATTGAAAAGATAAAAGATACGTGTTGGAGACAATGTGTAGCATATGCCCTGGCCAGGTAGAAGAAACTGAGTAATGCACGAAGCACATTCAGCTTTTTCCTGAATTTAGAAAAAGTAATGGGGAAAAAACTGGAAAATTTAATATGTAATTTTTCTTCAGGCAGTAACCCAGACTTATCACCTCAAGTGAGAAGAATGCACCTTTGTTTTCTTACCACAGCAGTTTTCTAAAAATTGTAAAATTAAATCTGTCATGTAAAGCACCCATGCTGGGAGTGTTTACAAGCCCACAAATTAAGCCAGTACGAGCAGCAAATGCACGTACAAGTACAGACTTCTTACAGGTTCATATTGTGGTTTTCCCCACAGCATCCTGAATATCCCTATTGTGATTGGAAAAATTGGCACTCTACCCTGTCGTTAATCACATTATTTGTCACCAAGGATGGTACTCATCTGTTTATGTCCCATTATTCTCCATATTTTCTGGTCACCTGGGTGTTGAGTTTCCTTCCTCAATGTGTTCTCTTTGGTGTCTCTCATTCTCCACTTCTAGTATGACATGGTCTGGTGGATGTAATCATTTTACAATGATCCAGAAACAGGACGACTGGTGACATTTTTTACAATTGGTGACATTTTTACCTTATTGGAAGAAACAGGACGACTGGTGACATTTTTACAATTAGTGACATTTTTACGTTACTGAAAATGATCAATGGCATTGCGGTGTTGGGCTGTGTCAGTGTGTTGGAAGTAAAGATCTGCTTGGAAGAAGATCTTAGCGAGTTATGAATGCAAGGGTGCTATGAAAAGTATGATGATAGCAACACAGTCATTATCGCTGTTTAATTTGGAAGTTTAGAAATTTTACTCAAAGGTCTTGGAAATCAATTTGGTATTTTGTTTCGAAATAATGTACATTTATACTAGCTTAAAGAATGGTTATATAATTGCACATAGGATAGTATACATTTTAGAAGATCAAATGACTTTGAATTACTAGTTTATATTTTGCAGTAAAATTTGCTTTCCTTTCCCAACCAGTAATTTTGGTTTCCGATTTCCAAACATAACATGTCTAAACTCGTGTTTATGGTTGACTTCTCAACTTGTGCTTGGGTGTTTTTATATCATTCACCAGAAACATTTCTGTAAAAAGTCTGGGTCTGTGATATCTTTCTCAGCTCAGACAAGTTTAATATGTCATAGCTGAAACTAGCATGTGCCACATTTGATGACCCACCTTTGACTTTATTGTGCCAGTTAGTGTTTTTTGGTGCCATTGTGGAATGATGGTTATGTTCTTGGATTTGAGCCACTGTAGTCCTGCTTTCAGGCTGTAATATATGCAGCAGTTGTTTTCTTATTACAGAATAAAGGGAATATAGGCAGTTAGATGTGGCACTTTAAAATAAGTATAAAAATGACAAATTTGTCAACGTAGATTGGTTGGGATGGTAACATTTTATTTATTGTGGTGTATGGCAATTAAAAATATAAATTAGACTCTGATTTGAAAGGGGACAATTGATTTAAAAATGCTAGATGACTAAATCATTACCCATTATCAATATTAAAGACACTCTTCATTACCCTTTATAAACTCCTACTAGCAGTTAAATTGTGTAACGTTTGATAACGAGAGTACGTTTTCATTGCTTTATTGAATTTAATTGGAACCATTTAAAGTACATCAGGGCAATTTGCCTTCAGATTTAATGTCCTGGTTTCCTGCCCTTGGTTGGTGATTTTGATATGACATTGTGCTGAATTGCCTTTCATTGATGATTTAAGCAGTGCAAAGTCCTAACTGTACTTTATTGAGTACTACCAGTAATTGTGTCAGCTTGTAAATAAAAAAGGGGCGTTGCCCTGACGACCTAGCTGTAAACATTGATTACATGTACATTGTTACATTTTTTGTTGGTACGTGATGTAATGTAAAAACTGGTTACTACTAAATTTGAGATTGTAAGTTTTAAAACAATCTGAAAAAAGCAATGAATAACTAAAAAAAAATTCACTCAGTGAATAGTACAGTATGCATGCATGTTTATAAATAAAATCTTTTTAAAAAAAATTGCCCAATAATTTAGTGTGACATCAAAATTAGTTCCTATTTAGAATTATTTCATTGCTCTTGGCCATTTTGCCAGTAGAATTTTGCCTGGATATATTTTCACACCATTAAATATATACATGTACCTGCATGGTTGCATGTTCTTGTGTAAAAGTTATAACCTTATCATAAAAAACTTTTCACATGTGGTATTATAATCTTTCGTGATATTTTAAAATGGTAGGTTGATTTTGTGAGAAATGAGTTGTCAAACCACATTGTTACGGTTTAAAGAATCATCAAGAATAGGAAAGAAATTGTTCTCTGACTGTCAGACTGAATTGTGTATGCATCATTACTTCAGCCCGTTACTTATTCATTCTTACTCTATGATTTTTAGTCAGGTGAGAATATTATAGGTAATTTTTTGAAATGCTCAGTCGTGAAAAACTTTTTTGTGAGGAGAAAATGGTTTAAAGTGCATCAGAGGCCAATTTCCTAACATAGTGGTACATGTAACAAAATAACCATTTGGTTGTTGAAGTTCACTATCAATAGAAGCAAAGATAAAGAACTTTTGAAATATAACAAAAATACAGATGTCATCATTTAAATTGTAGTCTTCAGATCATCCACCCTCCACAAAAGTATCCTATAATCTCTTTATATGCTTACCCACCCCATCATCTAAAGGCAGGAGGGAATTAAATATTAAAGTACATGTACCCCGGTACATGTTTTTACTAAAATTGCTCAATTGAAAAACTTTTTTTTTGTAAAGAGAAGGAAAATGGTTATGGTACATTTAATGCCAATTTCCATGTATTTTCATTCCCACCCCCTTGACAAAAATGCCCTGTTAACTCGTTATTATATGCATGCTTACACACTTTAGTCAGGAGGGAAATGTTAAAAGTACTTTCTTAAATTCCTCCACTGAAAAACAGGAGGAGAACTGTTCAGGATACATTAAAAACCTATTTCTACATTATCCCAAGATCACCCTACTTTACAAAAGTACCCCATTAATTCATTTCAATTGAACAAGTTGGGGAGAATTGGTCATTTTATCTACATTAAAAACCTATTTCTGTATATCCCCAGCAGGGGCGGATTTAGGCCCTCTTCTGGGTTTCCCAAAAGACAGCCAGATTTTCAAGTTTACATTGATGGTTATCTAAGTTTTTCTGTCAGAAGACAAAGTAGGATGGATCAACAAAGGTAATTTGGAAGACTTTCAGAAAATATCTCTGGATCCTCCCCTGCCCTGTATCCCCTGCCTTGGCCAAAAGCACCCTCCCTTAGCAAAATATCAGGCCTTTTGCAAATTCACAGCAAATTTGCAGCAAATTTGCTGCAATATGGCTGCAATATGGCTGCAAATTAGCAGCAAGAAAATTTTTCTTGCGAACCCCTGCTAACTCGTTGCTTCAAACTTTAAACAATATTGCTGCAAACTTTTCATTTTGCTAAGGGCTGTTATTGGTATCTCATTATTTTCTGAACACAGCAACCCCATTTCACCTTCATTGATCTGTGATCTCAACTCCTGCCAAACAGTCAACAAATCCTGACTATTGATTATTACACACTACTTTCTGATTGGACTGTTTTGACATTTCCGATAACGGCCTGTTTTGATAATTACGGGCCTTGTTGACTTTTCTGCAAAAAGTTCCGATAAAGTGTGAACCCTTTCTGCATGTTTTCTGCCTGCAACGGCTGATATAATGATTACAAGGGTTTAAGTTAATTTGTTAGCATTGTGATGTGGGAGTTTAAATAATGACATGTATAGGTAATTTTAGAGTTTTTTATCTGTGTTTCTATTTTTGGCAGACTTCAAGCAAGTGATTGATTGTGGTACCTTACTTAAGTCAATATTTCAGCAGGACAGGGACTCACATTTAAAACTGCTCTGTGTTTGTTTTTTCAAAACTTAAAATATAGAAAAAGTGATGTCCATTTTTACAGCCTGGCTGCATTGCCTTTATAGTATCCTTTTGTAAAGTAAGCTACATACCAGTTTGAGCTCAGGAAGATTAAAAAAGTAGATGTCATTATCATTATGTAGATAGGTGATAAATGCTCTAGATTACAAGTGGTATTTTATGTTACATCAACTCATGAGCTTTACAGAAGATATAACAAATCCTATGTTTACTGTTGACTTAGTGTAAGGCTGTAAGATCAAGATTTACTGCAAGGAGTTTTTTCTTACCTCCCGCTGTGAACTGAGTCGCCAGATTTAATTAAAGACAAACACATGACTTAGTACTGGTATTCCGTTTTGTACACTGACTAGCATCTCTAAACTGGTTATTCAGAAAATAATGAAGAGCAGCATTTGTCAAGTACAATTTTTGAAAATAAGATAAAAATTTAAAACATAAAAGGATTATTTTTACACAGTAAAATGTTTTTTAAAAAAATATAAAATAATGTTGCCTGATGAATTTTTTACCCCTATATAACAAAGGATTGAAATCAAGAAATCTAGAAATCAATCTACATGTTTGTATTAAAACCCTTTCTGTGCCTTTTGAAAATAACTAAAACTGCATTGCCAGGTCACTGGTTTACAATTATACAAGGCTGCTTTCATTGACAACTAAATTGTTAAAAATGGCATGACTGTATAGTTGATTAAAAAAATGTCAGTTACTCCCACTTGGTATGATAATGTCTTCTTTGGCATTTCATTACAAGTAATTTATCATTGAGATAATTCCTGACCCCATCAGTGCTATCAGTTTATTTGCTGATATTCAAACATTGGGATTGCAGTGTTTTTGAAAGCAACAGCTGTATTTCTCGTTCCACGAACACAGTACGTGTTTCTAGAAAATTTATGGGAGTTTTAATAAGTTTTCTTTCTTAAGTAGCAGGGTAATGTGACATAATTTCTGAACAGCTCCTCTTTGTTGGCATTGCGTTCACTGATGCAGACAAGGCCCCATTTCATGAAAAAATATGGTTTTGGTTTGAGCACTTGTATGAAATATTGCATAGTTCTATGCCTGTGGCGACTCTCTTTTAAATTTGTGACAAATTTGCCAGAAAAAGTTTTATCATGCAAAAATGCAAGAACCTGAAAATTATATTGCAAACATTTTGCAAATTTCAATCTGCTCTTGCAGATTTGCACAGCACATTTTGCGCAAGCTATTGCAAACTCTTGCAAGTTCCTTGAGATGATTTGTTGCAAATTTGCTGCAAACTTCTTAATTTTTTAAAACTTTGATAAGCAATTTAGCACTTTTTGGTATACTGTCTTTCTCATGTTCTTTTAAGGTTTCAATTTCATCTGGTCTCTCAATCAATTAAAGCCATTCTATGTGCAAACTTTTAATTGTGAATAAAATTAAGGTATTGAAATATTGAATATCCCCTTACAAGATATTATTGTTTTGTATCGTTTTGACTTCAGTATGTTTTCATGAAAAAACTACCCCCCCCCCCCCCCACCTACCCTCCCTAGTAATATTCAATTGCATGCCGGTTGTCCTATTACTTGGTGTGTGGTAACATTATAATAAGCCTCCTTTATTACATGGTTCATTTCTCTCTGAGGGCTGTCACAAGTGCACTTGCTTCCCCTTTCCTTTAATAAAGAGGTTTGACATGATTTATGATTTAGCTAAGTGGAAGTGTAAGGAGGTAGCAAGACCATGTAACTACCATATTATATGTAGTTGTTAAATTCAGTTTTCCTGCATAACTTCATGTAGAATGTCCCTATGCTGTAACATTGTGCAGTAGCTAGTTTTTAAGTAAATTACAAAGTTAATTACAAATAATCAAAGTTAGACTTATCTAAAATGCTTAACTGCAAGACATTTAGTTGTTATGGAATCAATGTTTCAACTGAACTAGATATATTAGGGTCCTTCATTAACTTACAGGGTTGTTATTGTAGTCTGGCAAAATTGAACTTGTCAATGTCACTAAAAATAGGAAAAAAGCATGCAGCCCCAAGCAGTTCATTTTTAAAATAAGCATACAGCAGCATCATCAGCAAGTGGTTTCCATTACAGATTGAGCTTTAACATTTGGTACTCCAAAAGAAACTTCATTACTTATTCATGAAACTTGACAACTTGTTTTCTTTGAAATAACAATAGAGAGAAATCCATTAAGTATCTGAAAGGAGACGATAGGATAATATTTACTTGTAGTCTAACTACCCGGTTTTGATTATTGAATTTCTTTGCAGTTGTATAAGTTACAATATTCCATCACACTATAAATAGATGCTGATTTTCATTCACGTTCAGGCCCTCTGTTGGTTTGTTTTGTGCCCAAACTTTTTTTTTTTTGAATAAGTATTATTTTAGATTTAATAAATAGCTTATTTCTGAAAGACATTGCAACTTTGCAATTTTTAAATAGCACTCTTGATGATTTTCTAAAAACAATATGTTAATAGTCTTCCACCCAATAAAAAAATTTTAAAAAAACTTTTTAGAATCATTTTTATAAATGTTAATAAAACAGGAAGCCCCCTTTTGTACATGTATGTTCTGTTTAAAATTCGGAGGAGCAGGCTGTTGATATTTGATATCAGATTTCCTAGCAACAGCTTGACAGGGACCTTTCCCCACTGTTTACAGACCAGCTTTCCTGTCATCTGAGGTCTTTGTTAAGAGACAGGTAACCTTAACAGCCAAAACACCTGTTTAAATAAGTGAAATATCAGCCGGCTCATGATATTTGGCAGTGCTTTACCATTGACAGTTTGACAGGAAAGTGTGCACAATACTAATGTGGGACTTAAGAATGAAATAGGACAGATACACAAACGCAGTATATTTTACCTGGCTTAATAACATTTTCAGATTCTTTTCCAGTGGAAATTTATTGAATTTGACTATCTATGCATGTAGTCATTGACTTTCTCAATCACATATGCTGGGTTTTGTCAGCTTAGCCTTTTTCAACAAATAATTCATACCAAGACATTAAAAGGAATTAATTAAACATGTTTAACTTCTCTGTTTTTTGTGGCCTTTGTCACATTTTAAATAAATGTATTTTTCAATTAAAATCCACCTCCACCCAACAGATTAAACTTTTGTCATAAATCAAGCATACAGCACAACTTTATTTTTTGTCTGGTCGATTTACCACCTGTTCTATATCCCAGCGTAACACTACTCTCGACATAATACATAACTTGAGAGAATCAAATTGTTGCATCACATTAAAAATACATGGATACCTAATAAAGACCCTGTCCTTATATTATTGTCAACATAAGACCTTATTGTGTGTATTTTATCAAGTGGAATATACATAAGCATGTACAAACACCTGTGGGGCAGGGAGGCAAACATTACCTGTGTATCTTGTACAGAGTTAATTGGATTTTACGATACATTGACTTCTAATTTTTTGTGATATTCATTGGGCTATGGATCTGTCTGTCTGCTTTGTCCCATATATAGAGACGGCTTTCTTCAAGAAGTGTTAGAGTCTTTGGTTTTTAATTGAGAACTGCAGACAGGCCGTTTTGGTCAATATGTTTGGGTTTGCTGTATGAATGTGTGGGGATGTGACATATGCAAATTTATAGGTACATGTATCGAGCAGATCTTGTTAAGTTTCCTTTCATTTCTTTTTTTT